AAAATGCTATGCATTTAGCCCTATGTGACGTCTGTTTTTATATTGTTTGTCAGCACACATAGCCTAAGTTACTATGTCTCTGGATTAACTAGCCGAGTAGACAAATATAAATGTTTATTCATAACCATGCTGAAAATAAGTCAATAATGTTAGCCGATGCTAACTGTCTAGCTAACAAGCTTGCTGGTGCTAAATTTAATTTTTTTTTTTTTTAAATAAAGTCCAAATATGTTTATTCAACCACCTAGATAGATTACATCTGAGGGAATATTATTATTATATTCATTATTTCCTTATTGGTTATTTTGGGAAAATCCCAGGTATTTTGAGCAGTAGGATTATAAAAAATTATGTGCTAATATAAAATTAAATTAAGTAGACTATATAAAATTGCAAAATAAATCTATCAGTACTTTTTTACTTAAGTACATAAAAAATCGAGTACTTTTGTACTTTCACTCGAGTAAAATTGAAAACTGAGTACTTTTACTTTTACTGGAGTAATATTTTGTAATACGGATCTGTACTTTTACTCAAGTACTTGATTTGTGTACTTCGTCCACCACTGTATACACTACCGTTCAAAAGTTTGGAGTCCGTAAGTATGAATAGTTTTATTGATTAAAAGTGACAGTAAAGACACTTGCTTTGTTAAAAAAAAAGTGTTTCAAATAAATTCTGTTCTTTTGAACTTTCTATTCATCAAAGAATTATAAAAATTGTAACCTTTTCCACAAATATATTGAGCAGCACATCCATTTTCAACATTGATAATAATTAGAAATTGATTATTATTATCAAATCAGCATATTAGGTTGATTTTTGAAGGACCATGTGACACTGAAGAGTGGAGTAACGATGCTGAAAATTCAGCTCGGCATCACAGAAATAAATTACGTTTGAAAATATATTCCGATAGAAAACAGTTAAAATGGTAATAATATTTCAAATTGCTGTTTTTACTGTAATCAATTTATTTTTTGATCAAATAAATGCACCCTTGGTGAGCATAAGAGACTTCTTTCAAAAACATTCGATCCCATGATATCATTGGAATCACTTTCAGAAATTTTTTTTCAATAAAAACATTGACAGCCAATCTGAATCCACCCGACACCAAAGAGCACACGTATCGTTATTGTACATTGATGTTGATGGAAATATAGTAATCATTATAGATACTTTATTGTTATCATTCTAGGTGTGAACAGGCCTTTACTCTGGTGATTATATGTTTAGCTTGATAAAGTCACCTCAGTAATGGCACCTCTGAGTTATTCTATCACTGACTATGCCATGATGTCATTTCCTCCCTGCAGTGGGATCTCAAGACAGCCTTCTGGAAATCGCCCTGCGTGCCAACATGCCAGCTGTATCACGTGAGCCCAACCCGAATCCTCCCTCAAGTGCTCGAGAGGGCTTCCCTCTCTCAAACAGCCTGGTTCGGCTTGACGGCTTTCGTTTCTTCTCAGAATCTTCAGTGCAGGAGAAGAAGCCGGAGCAGGACAGTGACTCAGGTCAGGGTCAGGATGAAGACCAGTCGGGTGGCTGCTCTCCTCCAGGGAACCAGTTCCTCGGCTCACTGGACACACCTGGATTCAGAGAGTCCGGTATTGCGTCCGGATATGAGTCCAATACGGATGAGAGCGATGACCGGGAAAGCTGGGGCCAGTAACTTTGTGCATCTGATACCGCTTTTCCACTGGGGCTGGTGCCGGAGCTGGAGCCAGTGCTTGGCCAAGAGCGGCACTCATTCAGAACCGGCTCACGTTTCCACTGGCAGGGAGCAAATTCTTTTACGTCACCAACCTGTGACCGGAATCGCTTGTTATCTCATGCAGAAGGAGAGTGTTTATCTGCTCTGCCGACCACTGCTGAACTGACATATTTAATTGTTGTGTTAATGTTGTTAAAGGGGTCAAATGATGCGATTTCAATTTTTCCTTTCTCTTTGGAGTGTTACAAGCTCTTGGTGCATAAAGAAGATCTGTAAAGTTGCAAAGACTAAAGTCTCAAGATATTCTTTATAAAAGTTAAGAGTCAACCACGCCTACCTAAAACGGCTCGTTCTAACACGCCCCCACATGTCTACGTCACGATGTGGGAA